TTGTGGAGGTGAGTTGATTGCTGGATTGCTAGCATTTTTAGTTACTGGCGAAATTTGTCCTGTTGCTTTTGGTTGACTCTGTTCTGGTTGCCTTCCCACTTCTGTCAAAGACGGTCTTACTTTTGTCTGCTGTGACGGATTGTGTCTTTAACATCAAAATTTGTTAGCAATGGCTTGCTAGCCATCTTAGCATTCCAATCCTACATTCTGTCTTCATCAAGAGTGTGACTAGACTGATGACAATCTTCTTGGTAATAAGATTATAAAGCCTTAAGCTTTAAAATAACCACTAATGCCAACAAAATCACATTTCTTCTGTGTCATTCAACTTATTTCCTTGATGGCTTGGTACATGGACATATGCTATATACTCAAAAATTATGAAATGGGCAACATTCGGTTGCCTGCGACTTTATGCTTCTTTCAGTGTCATATTTTTTACCACTGTAGTAGAACTATTTAGAGCATTAAATACTCCAATTAATTGCTTCTAGCCAAAATTCATTTAACATTCCATGTCAATAAGCTTCGCACCATGCCTAGGATGGTACGATTTATTCTTTCACAAATACCATTTTATTGTGGTGTATGAGCTGCTGTCATATTCCTTATTGGTTCTATCTTTAATTTCATGAAATTCTTAATTTTTGTTTACCTACATCACAGATTACAGCTGAACCTGAAACAGAGCCAAGCTCGGAAGATTCTCATTCAGGAGGAGAAAATATTCCAGAAATCCCTGCAGCAGAGACGGATGAAGAGAAGCGTAAGAGGAAAATGCTCAAAAAAGCTGTGGCTAATAAAAACTATAGGGAGAGAATCAGGGTAATGATATTCTTTAAGTGAGCTAATCTAGCATACACTTGGATTTATACACTGTATAATTTCATTTAACTATTGTGGATTCGTTTCTTCTTAGATGCAGTTTGAGGCCCCGTTTTTTTTTTGGCCACCAGTTTGACGCTGTTTGGCTAACCTTTTTTTAAGTAGTTTTTAAGCTAAAAATTGCAAAATCTTTGTTTCTTCTAATTAAAAATTTACTGGAGTGTAATTTGATTTTTAGCACAATAAATTAGATTTTAAGTTTTGTTAAAAGCTCTAAGTTTTTGCTTTTGAAAAAACCTAAAAGATATTATTATTATTATATTTTTTTGCTAAAAATTAAGTTTTCCTACAACATACTTCAAATTTCAAAAGACAAATTTTAAATTTTTAGCTTAACAGTTATTTGAACAAAAAGGCGAAGTCAAACAGTCCCATCATATTTTTGTTTGTCTTTATTTGTTTTTTTAGCATGTTCGTTATAAGATAATTATTCCTAAATTATGTAGGTTATAGAGTACCAAATACGGTAATGAATGACTATTTTGTGATTTTATTAATTTTTACTAAAAATTCGGAGAGAATTTTTGAGATATTATGTATGAGGTCAGTGCATTCATAGCCCCTCATTTTATGGTTACATTTTCAGAAAAGAGCAAAGCTAGCTGATAAACTTGAGTCTGAAAATGAAGAATTACGCGAAGAAATTGCATCCCAAAAGCTAATGGTAGTGGATCTTACAAAAAGATTGGCCGAGGAGGAGAAGGTAGATGATCCTCAAAACAGTTTTCCTATGTTGTTGGGAGTTACAGAAGCTTTGACCAAAATGAAGGAGAAGAAAAAGAAGTACAAGGTAAATTTTCTCCTAATTGAGAAATCCAAACGAATTATTTGGAATTGTTTGGTAGGAAGAGTATATTTTTTATTTCTTATTTCAATTTAAAGAATGTAGATTCATTGAGAGAGCATGTCAGAAAATTTATTTGGTATAAGGTTTATTTTTTTTTAAAGTGAAATCTGGCTCTAATTTTTTATTTTTAAGTAAATACTGAATTTAGTTTTCAACCTTTATTATAAATACTAAATATTGTTCTAACATTTTATTTGAACAAAAAATGGTTTTAAAACTTTTCAAAATTACCAAACTTAATCTTACTATTAGTTATTTCTGTTAAGTTACATACAAAAATCTTAATTGAAATTTTGGGAGGTCATAGAAATTTTTACATAATTTTTCTCTTAATTTTCATCTCCCTAAAATTAGTTTTGCTAAATTTTCTATTCTTTAAACACTTTTTAACTCTTTTTTCAAAAAATATTTGGAATTTTTTTTTTACTTTAAAGATAAGGGCTTATGTATATTAACCATCCTATGATTTGAGATAAATTTTCATTTTATATTTTTTGATGAATTTTGTAAAGTAGTAATTTGGATGACAGAAATTGCAATTGAAAAATATTTCAATTTTATTATTTATTATATTGCTAAACAATTAACATATGTCAAAAGATTTTAGAATTGAAATATGGAATTTATGTTAGGTAGAAGATAAAAAAAAAATGATATTTGGAGTTTCTAAAAGATAAAAATTATACAAAAAAAATTATCTTTATATCATTACTCATTTGCACATTATATGTAAGTGCATTTAGTCCCGCATTTTATGGTTTCATTTTCAGAGAAGAGCAGCTGAAGCAGATAACATTGAGCTTGAAAATCTACAGTTACGCCAAGAAATTGCATCCCTAAAAGCACGGATGGATGAACTTCTAAAGAGACCGGCTGGATTGGAGGGTGCGGAGGAGGAGCAATATGCCGTTGGAGAAAAAGGGAAGGAGCAGTATGTAAGTTTCCTTCTAAATGGAGAAATAGAAACTAATTATTTGGAATTGTTTGGTAGTAGGAGTTTTATTTTTTTATTTCTTATTTCAACTTTAAGAATGTAGATTCAACAAAAAAGAAAAGAGAAATATTGAAAATTTATTTGGTACAGGGTTCTTTGATTTTTATTTTTTTAAGTGAAATCTGGCTCCAATTTTCTATTTTTCTTTGGAAACCAAAATTTTCTTATTTTCTGTCAAAAGAAATTCTTGATTTCCGTTTTCAAAATTTTCGGTATTATAAGGCGCCTTGTTTCTCCTTATTTTTTGAACTGAAGTTAAATCACCTTGTTTTTCTCCCTTTCTTCTTTCGGTCTTTAATACCACTAATATATTGTGGTACAATTCAGGAAATAATCCAACAACATATTTCCGATGTAAGGAAAAAAGAGGTCATAGTTGAAAAATAAGTTGAAAAGTATCTTGAATCTTTTCTGCAGAAAGATACGTCTGCGAATCCAGTTCCGCCAGAAGCATCATCCCGGCCGCATGTAAGTCTCTGCGTGGCCCTAACTGGAGAAACTTCCGTTTTCCCAATTAATTTCGGTAAAAATTAATGCATGCATTTTCTTACTATTTTATATATATATATATATATATATATAAAAGCAGGGTACATCTCCTGACAAGGATTCCAGCGACAGCGAGATCTACCCCGAGACTGACAGCGAGACCTAATGGCTTTACTTATAGATGACTTTTTACTGTCTAATTTTAAATTTAATATAATAAAAATTGTGAGTAAAAAATTTAGATATTAAAATCTTAAAAATATATATAATATTATTAGTTATCATCTTTTTCTAATAAATCGAATAAAAGATTAGGGAGATTGAATAAAATAACTTTTCTTTGAAAGATTTTTATTTCAGTGTTAATTTATTTTTATTTTTTATTTTTAAAGTATATATTTTTTGTTTTTTATTATTAATTATTTGATTGAGTTTAGTTTTTTAATAATATGTAAATTTGAGTTTTGGATATAAAATTAAACTTTAATTTTTTATTATTATTTTAGATTATATTTAGTTTATATTGTAATAAATAATATTTTGTTAAATTTTATTAATTTTATTTAAATTTAAATGAAAAGTGAATAATATTTATTAAATTTTAATTAAAAAATTAAAATAAAATATTATTTAATAAGTGTATGAATATGTTATCATAAGATATTTGGCACCCTCGAATTAAATCTTAATTATAGATTTTAAAGATGTATTAAAAAATTTTCGAAGTAAATACTAAATATATCTTGTTTCGAAATGTACCTAAAAATGCTTACCTAGTTAGGAATCGAATACAGATCATCCACTAGACCAACACAGAAGCTGACAACATGGTTGACATAAAAATATATATATATATATATTAATTAAAAAATTAACTAGCGATAACTTAATTTTTTGGCTGGTCTAACTAAATAAACCATTAAAACTAAGAATTAAAAGTCAAAATAGTTTTATCTCCAGTTTAATTTTAAAAACAATGGCGAGACCGACAGCGTAACTCGACGCGGGCAACGAATGCTAAGTATTTGATTTGCGTATACCCACTAACACCCGTACGGCCGTACGTGCATGATTCCAAATTTTAAATATTTTACCTGAACAGTAAGAAAATGAGTAAAATAGTAATAGTATCAAAAGAACATGCTAATCATTTGTCTAAAAAGTAATTGTCGTTCTGTTTTTTATTTAAATTTTGTGTTAATTGATTTTTAAAATTTTTTTGAAGTAAATAAATATATATTTTTTTATTTTAGTTTCGTTTAACAATAGTTTATACTGATTTTATTTAACAAATGTATTTTTTTGATAAAATATTATGTAAAAGAGAAATCTATATAAAATATTGTTAAACCAAATTAAGTAAAGTATTTAAAATAAAAATAATAAAAATAAAACTCAAATGCATAAATTAATTTTTTTACAAAAGTCAAGAGGAGCATTTGTACCCTTTGCATTAATGTGGCACCCCGCAAGTGCAAACTGATATTCTTATATATATTTTTTTAAATAAGTACAATTAGGGATAAAAAATAAAATTGCTAAAATTTAAATTTTAAATGTTATTATGCTTATCAAATGAATTGTAATTATTGAATCACAGTGTTAGTGAACTTATATTCCTATTTATTAATAGAGTTATATATGATATCCCCTCCATGATGATGTTTGTATGGTATGGTATGTATAAATGATAACTGATTGCCTCATTCCTGATTATTGTGTTTCATTAAATAAAACTGCTTTCTTTCCACATTTAAGGTTGTTGAGAATTAGTGACTTCTAACTAATATCATTAATATATATCTCATTTAAGGAACTGCTCATGAACCAAAATCCACCACTTACTGAAGCTTTGTCGCTACTGAAGCTTTGTCGCTTAATACCATTGGAGGGTTTGATGTTGAAAGAAATTATTTCGGCTTACGAGGCAAGCAGTGAGGTACATGAGGGCAGCTTTACTGTTTTGTTATTTTATTATTTATATTTTAATATGTATCGAATAGTACGACGGGTTTCTTGTTACATCGTTTAAGTATTTAGTGATCCTATGCCTATTAAATTATCTTGTATTAAACGAGAAGCAATTCGCTGAAGTACGTTTTAAATTTGAATCGTGTTTTAATTTGTATTGCTTGCTGCAATAATTCATTTTCCACAATCCTGTAATACACAAAATATAAAATAAACATACTAGACAATTACTCAGCTATCGTGTTATTACCAGCCTAGCACCTGGCCATCTTGTTATCATCACGAAGGGTGGATTTTAACTCAAAATAATTACTGGAAATTACACATTTATGGTTAAAGCGAATTAAGTTATTTAACAGCCAAAAAACCTTTGCAAAAGGGATTTCTGTTGCCTGCAGCATATGCTATATTATTGTATATATGGCGTTACTCGAAATGCCACATAAGGCCTTCTAATCTACAACAATGACAAATCACAATTTAATGAATGCATAGACGAACAATTTATTTAAGGAGAAGAGGACAGCAAGCATACTCATAATCCAGGCTCTCAATGGGGCAACTATTGCACCAATAATACCTATCCGCGAAGTGGTGTGGCTTCTTCACTAGAAGTGGCCAGTGGAGAGAATCGTTCTCCTTTAAATCCACAACTGAATCACTTTCAATATCATGTGCTTCATCCCCATGGTTCACTTTATTCTCTTAAGTCTTAATCCATTGACTCATTGTGTTTTACAATTCTACTAACCTCTTAAACGAAACTTACATCATCTTAGTCTCCTCCTTACACATAATCGGAATCCTAATTACGGCCTTTAAAGAAACTTAATCACAGATCCATAAGAAACAATGACACAATAGTTAGTCAACGCTAGTGATCGTCATAACTTATCCTACCGGTGGGGTCTATATTTCAACTGAGGAAGTTGTGCTAGGCCAGAAGTTCTACAATGAGATAATGAAAGCACCTCTACCGGTTCATAAGATACCTTCGCAACTGGGCATAGACGGTGGTACCACTGATCCGGTGGAGTACATTTGCAGCCACCAAATGATCATATGCTGGAGATGCAATCATGTGCCACCAGTTCCCAACTTCCCTACGTAACGTAGCTTCTACTTGGTTTGCTGACCTACCTGATAGATTCATCACCTCATTAAACACGTGAGTGCTCTATTCATCTCCCATTTTATTCAATCTAAGCCACCTAAGAGAGATTCGGAGTACTCGATGATAAATAAACAAAGAACTAGGGGAAACTTGGGTACGTAGCTACATAGATAGATTTCATAGGGAAGCTCTGCTCATACCTTGTTCAAAATGTGCCTTGAATTACTCGAAGTAGGAGTTTGCCTTGAACAACCGAGGTGTTTACACCTCTGACTAGGATGCTTACACCTCAAGAGGAGAAAATACAATACAGGCCAAAAAGGTTTAGGAACCCATGATCGGTTCTTGAACTATATTTCGAGGCATCATGTTGTCGATATGATAAGGTAAGATGTCGACACCTCAGCAGAAAATTGGCAATCCGTGCGCTTCACTTTGTTTCCTAATTTAGAATTCAAGTCAATTTTGAAATTCTAATTGAAGAGCAACCCAATCAAATATTCAAAGAATTTCAAAGATCATATGGAGTTTTAGTGAAATTTGGTTTCCTTATTAATTCAAATTTACTTTAGAAAAAACTTTGGAATCCACATGATAATATATAATAACTTTTATTAAGACTTGAATTTATACTTTAGAAAGAATATAAAAACCCCACTTAAATTTATTATAAATGTTTTATTAGCAAACTTAGGATGTGTGGTGGAATCACACCTTTGGTGTGAAGATCCCAATTCACATGGGCTGACATGTGACAATTGGTTAATGAGAAGATAGGCAGATGCAAGGAAAATCTTAAGGGAGTTCTTAGGAAGATTAGGAGTACTTAGAGGACATTGAGAGGGGTCTTCTTATATTGTAACTTTTTTTTCTTAATTAGTGAATATTTTATCTTACCATGTGGTTTTTTCTATCACTACTAGAAAAATGACGTATACGGACCGATCATATACGGACCGAATAGTGTCGGTCTGAACACAAAAATATACG